GCAAATCCTCAGACACAGGTTGCAGGGTTTTGATATGGAACATTCTCGAGGCTCTCCCATCATGCACCGCTTGTGAATGAGATAATTTGTCTGGGGAAAGGCGAAGGGATCGTGTGGCGCGGCAGTCGAGTTGATCCACAGTGATTGACTGTAATGCTCCCTGTCAGACAGGCTCATGCAATGAGACTTAGCAGCTGGAGACAAATCAATTTCTCCTCCTAGCATCCCCCCTCCTTACAGCCAACCTATCCCTCCCCATCCAACTCTTTGCTTGTCCCTCCACTCTTGACAGCATCTGATGTCATACCCAGCAGACCATCACACTGACCTTTGTCAGAAATCTGCTACACTGTGTTGGCCCACACACCTTAAGCACCTCTGTTCATGCTATTAACTGACAGTCATCTAGTGTGATGGGTGCAGATCATTCCTCTAAACGTAACGCTTCACTTTGTGAGGATATTTTCCCTTCTGGTACAGAATATAAAACATCTGTTGAATGTCACCACCAACATTTCTCCCCAGCTGCCAGTGATGATAATTGCAAACAGGCAAATTCACTTCTTAAAAAGCGCAGTCTGAGACACAGAATACAAAAGTATTTCATAGATCTGCTTTTCTCTGCTTGTGGATGTTTTGGAAGAGCTATTTTTAGACAAAGCTTTTGAAAGGGAAATAGCTAGTCTTATGATGGGCAAAATGACCCATCACCGCTGAAAGGAAGAACATGAAATGAATATACTAGACTGTTAGATCTTGCAGTTGGAAAGCAATAGTTCGTCATTTTCAGAAATACGTGGGGCAACTGTGGCTGAGAGGTAGAGCGGGTCCTACGTTCTGAATGTGGAAGCGTTGTTGGGCAAGATACTGAACCCCAAATTGTGTGAGTGTGTGTGAATGTTTAGTTTCTTTCAATGATGAGCAGTTGGCAGTATATGAATGTGTGTGAATGGGTTGAATGTGACATGTACTGTAAACAGGGTTGGGAGGGTTACTTAAAATATAAAATAATACTGTACAATTTCTAATTACTTGTTTAAAAAAATGTAATCCGTAACATAATCCAAGTACCAGAAAATAAAAGTAATGCAACGTGATTACTTTTAGTTACTTTTGGATTACTTCAATACCAAAAACGCAAATAAAGAAGTAGCAAAGATGCCTGGTCTGCTCAGTGGATTTTTAGAGAAACATACAATTAGGCTATAAAATATCGCATTCCCATGAAATCAAAATCGATGTTTAGGCCTAAATGTTTTTAGATGATGATTGTACTGGGCCTATACATCATGGCTGGATCTGGCCCATCAATGACAAAAAACATTGTTTTGTTGGTATGTTTGATGATATTTTATAGTGTGTCATTTCCTGGAAAACGATTTCAAAATGTTGATGAATCATCCTGAACTGGGGGGGCTGTATTACTTTAGTGTCCAATGAATAGCTTTCTTTGTTTTTATGACGCTGCTGAACAATAGTGTTTCTGCGACCGGTCACCACTGATTACTGTACAAAAGCACACCTTTATTCACAGATTTTGCTGAAACTGGATCATATTTGATGGAAAACATTATCTGGCTTTCTCTCTGATGTTCCCCGGCTGCTCTGCCTCTACTCTGTGATTCATGGAGTTCCCTTTTAAGCTTTACTTGTTCCTGTAGCAAGTCTGCTGCTGCTAACTAGCTGCCATTATCTAATAAGCTCAGCTAGCCTGCAGCTACTGGCCAACTTAGCTTACTCTGCCCATACTGGGAACTCGGAGCACCGGAGTGTGTGTGTGGGACCCGGCGGGGAATGATTGCGGGTAGTGTCGCCGGGCGAGTGGGCACCGGAACTTCGCCCAGCAGCTTCCCGTAAACACGGCATGAACAGGACCGAACACAGTCTCATTAACGTTAACATTTGTTAACTCAGCCCAGGGGTGACAAGAGCCAAACCGGCAAGAAAACCACCTTCGTACTGTATTCCCAGTGGTCATGGCCTCCGTTGGTCTCTGAGTTTGTGCTCGGGTCCGTCTGCCGTGTTCACTTATTCACCCACTGGGAGGTGGAATCAGTCGGCACAGAGTATGCATAATGGGGTGGGGGTGTGACCACATTCAACTACTGGCTACACGCACATCTGTGTGACAAATCCCTCATTAGCTGTGTGTTTTTACAGGAAATACGTCAATAGAAAATATCAGTTTCTGTACTATTCAGTAATCTGTTACTCCCCAACCCTGACTGTAAAGTGCTTTGCGTGGTTAGCAGACTACAAAATACTGATAGAGTCAGATGAGAAAGTTGACATCAATATTGTTTATATATGTTTATTATAAGGCAGGTAATGTCTGTTTATTATAAGGCAGGTAATGTCTGTTTATTATAAGGCAGGTAATGTCTGTTTATTATAAGGCACAGCTAGCAGCCGGTTAGCTTAGCTTAGCTCAATGACTGGAAATGGGAAAAGAGCTAGCATGACTCTGTCCACTGCCTGGCCAACCAGATTATTTATGATATAATGTGTTAATTAGAAATGCTTTTTAGGCACATTTTGTTTCCTTCGTATGGGCTAGCTCTTCCCCCAGATTTCCCGTCTGAATGCTAAGCTTAGCTTACAGCAGTGGGATTGATCTTTTCATTTAGCTGTTGGCAAGTAAGCAAATAAGTATTTCCTAAAATGGTTAACTATTGCCTTAAAATTAACTCACATCCGTTAAGGATTTCTGTTTAAAGTGAGTACATATATTAGCGTTGCATAGTCCAGCTTTACCCATAAGCCTTTGCCCTGTGCTGGAGCTATATGACCATCAGTTGTCCCCAGCTGTGCTATGTATATCCTGGACCAGGTCCAGAGAGAGGACAGTTCATAGTCACAAAATAGAGGACAGTGCATAAGCAAATGAACAGGGATGGGAGGGGAGCCACTGTGTAGCTGCTGGCTAAAAGGCACTTCAGGGTCTATTTATATCGAATGATCGCTGTTCCTAAACTCACTCAAAAGCACAACTCTGCATACACAGCCATTTTGTTGGCATTTGAAGGCCTTCTTTAATAGAATGACCACCTAAAGAACTATGTATGTGTGTCAAAGTGTGTAAGACTTTGTGTGTTTACACAAGATTGAGTGCATTGGCAAGAATGTTAATGTGCAGTGCATCTGCATTAAAACAGGGCAGCATGTGGACAGTAAATTAATCACACATGCTATACATTTTTTGAATGTGTGCTACATGTGTTGTCTGCAGGAAAAAAAACTAAACAGGAATTCCTAGAGGGGATAAAGGGAATGAGGGTTATAAAGCGAAGGGTGCTTTAACATCCACTAGTTCTTCTCATTTATGCTTATCTGGCTGACGGGTGTGTAAATGGCTTTCTGTTGTAGGAGAGTCCCCCAGGGGAACCGTTCCTCTCTGAGACAGTGACAGGCCAGTAATGCTGCCCTCCTTCCCCACACATACACACGCACACGCACCCTTCCCCGACCCCCTTTGCCTCCCTTCCAACCACCCGACCACCCGTCACCAACCAGCCCAGACAAACATCTTGATTGTAATCGAATTTTTGGGACGGGTGCTGTGTGATGGAGGACAGATTGGGAGAGAGAGAAGGGAGAAAAGGGTGGATGAAGATGGAGGAGGATGGAGTGGTTGAAGGGACAGAGGTTGAGATTGAACAGGAAGGAAGAGGAAATAGAATAGTGTTATATTGGAAAGTGGATGACAGTGCCGAGCGAGAGGACATGTACAGTGCAGAGAGGGAGCTGCTAGTTATTAGCTTTGTTTCTGCAGGCTCACAATATGTATACTTTGGAGGTGGGGGTGGGGGGGTGGTACAATAGTGTTAATGTTAAGAAAATGGCTGAGAAGGCAGCCACAGCTTCTCAGATTCTCCTCAAAAAGGTCTGCCATTGTTATTGTCATTTGTTCAGAGTCTCCTGCTGACCTCACCTCACATTCTGATTCACTGCCCTTACTCTTCATGTGATTAATTGCATCTTGCAGACGTGCATTGTTAATTTCTGAGGATGCTCACAACCAGGGTTCTAAAGGTACGTATAATATGCTGAGCAGCAGTAATGCACACACAAATGTGTTTAAAAGCAAGTGGAAGGGCATTTTAGAGGTCGGTCACTTCTTGTCTTTTCTACAGAACAGATAAGCTTGCAATTTATCAAATGTAACAGAGATATGTGGTAACTAGTGATTATCAAACTAACTTCAGCATAGTGTCTGACATGCAGTGCAGCAGTGGAAGGATAACATTGCCAGTGAATACTTGAAAGTGTTGTTGTTTGGTTAGTTTATCATTCAAGATAACTGCAGTCTGTATGGAATGAGACAATATTCCAAACTACCTTGAAGGTACAGTCTGAAATGAAAGTTTCTACCTGAATAAATTGATTCATGTTGACATCTGTCAGAAACTTCTGATGCTCGGGAAGCCAAAGTGAATTTAAATTCAGTGTCCCCTTCTCCTCAAATCCAGGTTTCTCTTCACGTCTTCTGAGCTGAACAGCAGATGCCGTAGTGGTGACAATTTAATCTCGCTGACATCGATAGGAAACAGATTTGTTTCCATAGTAAAATTTACACTTTGGTTTGTGGCAAAGAAAACAAACTGTTGGTGTGATCACCCATGTAGAGTGTAAACACAAACACATTGACAAACTCAAAAGTTACATGTTGGCTTCTGAAGTCAGGAAAGGATATCTGACAAATATTCATGCCTGTTCATCAGTGTCATTGTTTGTTCTTCGAGTAAACATAAAGAAAACGCAGACTTATTTGGGGTCAGCCAAGAGCTTCACTCACTGCACAAGCTTTAATCTGTCCCTTTGTCTATTTGGATCTTTTGGTAATCATCTTTCTCTTGTGTGTCTAAAACTACCGCTCAGTCATATTTTGACAGTGTTGTTGTAATCCAGATGTGAGATGTAGGATTTGTAAAGGCCCTTTCATGTGAAACATTCTCATACTTTCGTATTCTCCCTCTGTTTGTCCCTCTGTCACCTCACAGATTTTATTTAGTCAGTGGTGGAGTGCCCCTCATCATCTGCGGGGTCACAGCAGCCGTCAATATCGACAACTATGGCAGCAAGGAGCAAGCGCCGTAGTAAGTCCTCGATTTGCTTCTGCTGTCAAGGTTGAATTACACCTTCTGTTGATGTTTTACTCCATTTTATACCCCTCAGCAAAGTGATTTCCTCATTAGGTGTTTTTTTTTTTGCATGCGTGTATACATATAGAGTACAGTATATGTGGAGTTGAAGCTAAAGGTTTCATTGGATACATGTTAAAAGTAACAGAGTTTTCATAAATTCAGTATTTCAGTTCTGCAGATGTGAACATAAATTGTGTGTGTTGCAGCTGCTGGATGGCATGGGAGCCTAGCCTTGGAGCCTTCTTTGGCCCTGTGGCCTTCATCGTCCTGGTGACATGCATCTACTTCCTCTGTACCTTCATCCAGCTGCGGCGACACCCTGAAAAGAAGTATGAGCTCAAGCAGCTGACGGAGGAGCAGCAGAGACTAGCTGCCGTTGACGTGCCGACCCACTGCCACCAGGGAGCCGAGCCTGGGGCCCTGGCAGCCCCACCCAGTGGGAGCCACTGCCCTGCTGGCTGCCCAGGCGTCCCCATCAACCCTGCGCTGTTGGCCAATGAGCACTCCTTCAAGGCTCAGTTACGAACGGCGGCCTTCACCCTTTTCCTGTTCCTGGCCACTTGGACTTTTGGGGCGCTGGCCGTGTCACAGGGCCACTTCTTGGACATGATCTTTAGCTGCCTTTACGGTGCCTTCTCTGTCACCCTTGGCCTCTTCATCCTCATCCATCATTGCGCCAAGCGTGATGATGTCTGGCATTGCTGGTGTTCCTGTTGTCCCGGACGACACGCCAATGCCTGCTCTGGCGCCCATGGTCCAACTCAAGTGCGGCCAAAGGTCAACGTGAATGGAGATACCCCCGGGCATGGCCACAGCCACTGCCATCATGATTCACCATGTCAGGGTAAAGCACTGATGAGCTGCGGTCATAGCAGTTTAGCTCACTGTAAACACGCCGCCCTTCCGTCCTCGCAAAATCACGTGACCTGCCTGGCACCGGTGACGCCATGCTGCGCCGCCCTGCATAGCCAGCAGCTAATGGAAGAGGAGCCTGCGGCTACACACGTGCTATTACATGCTGACCCAGAGGGTTACCGGCCGGGTATCCAGTTGCACCCCTGCCTAAAGAGCAGCACCAGGACTAAAGGCCGTCACTTTAGCCGCCGGGCTGGGGCCGGTGCTTGCGGAGCAGGGAGTGAGAGGGAGTACGCCTATCACATCCCCTCCAGTGTGGATGGAGGCAGCGTGCACAGCTCACACACTGACAGCCCCCACAGCACACATGAGCGTCACGCCCACATCTGTCCACATCTGGCCCACGAAGGCCACCATGATGGGCATCACACATGCCACGCCGCTACACCCACCACGCACGAGGCCCTGGCATGCCATAATCCCTGCCACAGGCATATCTGCTGTGCTAAGGCAGACCTTTTCCCTTCTCTGTGCCCAGCAGAGACAGGCGACACGGGCGTCTTCCTGTGTGGCTGCGGCAAAGTGGCCGAGCAGGACCCGACGGCAACACCTCATCATCTGGAGATGCACGCCCCACGCAGACAATCCTACCCCCAGAACCCGCCCAATCAGAATGGGATTCTGAAGGGGGGGCTGCATGAAGGACTCCTGTACACCTCGGACAGCACAGGGAATATACGCACTGGACCCTGGAAGAATGAAACTACTGTGTAGTGTGGGATGGAAAAACAGGGGACTGCCTCGTCCCACCAAAAATAAACCCTCGCCTCCCTTTCTAGAATAAAAATAATTAATTGAACTACATTTTAAACATCACAATCAGCGTGGGATATTTTTATTTTAATGTCCTCATGTTTTTATGTGTGCTGTTTTACTGTACAGTAATCTGATATCATGTAAATGCTCCCTGAAGAGCATCCATACACAGAACAGAATCTCTTCCACCAAGAAGAATTTGTGAAATGTGTGTCACATCACCATCAGATGTAATTGAAGGTATTTCCACTGTTCCATATTACTACAGATCTCTCTCTCTATATATAGATATATATACAAGAAAATGAATGGTTGTATGTATGAATATGTGTGTTAGTGCTCAAAGGCAACACGCTGCAAGATTTTTTTACACTTTAAATCTGAATCCATCAGATAGTCTATGATGACAGCGAACCTCCAGTACTTTAAAGAACTCTTGGCATCCATGTTTTAGATGACTAAACCAGCAATTTTAGACTTCATGGGTATTTTTGCCATTCAGTCAAGCAACTGTGAATATCTACTAGAGATTTTCTAAATAATATACAATGATACTGTCGCTTGCCAGAGATGTGTGGATGCCAGTTAACTTGTGAAGATTCAAAACAACAGAAAAAGAAAAGTGAAATTAAGCATCCTCGTCCAGGTTGGTATTGATTGTGCTGTCTGTATCATGTCTTCACTGATGTGTTTCTTTTTTCTGGAGAGAAGTAAATAACGGCAGCATCAACAGCAACAATGTGGCCATTGTGAATGGAGAGTTGGTGTCACAGAGTGATTGGATCCAGAGCAATTTTTCGTAACACTGTGCCGAATAGAAAGGGGTGTAGGACTAGGGGGACAAAGGGGACTGAGCATGCAGGGCCTTCACGTGAGGAGGGCCCAAAAAGATACTCGAATCAATAGCCTTGGGGAGGGGCCCACAGAGATGTAAAGGGTCCAGAGTTTGTGCTATGCCCCTGCACATAGAGCCAGGTCCTGACAGCGAGTTCAATTGCCAAACTAGTGTGCAGGTTTTTTACTCTCTTCAGCTCAGCTCACACATGCTATCAGCCATCAGCATATGATCCTTTGTCAAATCAAATAATTTAGGGAAAAAGAATGTGAATGTGATTAAAGAAGAAAGAAGAAGAAACAACAAGCTGCTTTGGGAAACCCAGCTGTGCCCAATGTCCTATTATTTTCCCTCTAAATAAAAACTACTAAAACATTTTAGCCAACTTCACCCACTATTAGCTAAAGCGCCAAAATGACAGATGACAGGAATTAGTTCATATTTTCACTTATTTCTAAGACCCAGCGCATGCCTATCCTGTTGAGTATAGCTAAGTGCAATTTCTTTTAACAGTGTAAATGAACGCCCATCCATAAAGACAGTATTTGCCTCGATTCAATATGACTGCTGCAGCTTTTATGTATCATTTTTGTCACACTCTTGGATTAAGCCTAGTTACCAGCAAATACTTTATTATTTCCCACTAGTGATCTCATTATAACAAGACTTTAGTTTTATCCTAGAATCCAGTACAGTTGGTTCTGCTTTGGGAGATAACGTGTGTCAGGATAGGCCAAGGTTGAAGTATGGATTGTTTTCTTTTTTTTTGTTACGATGAAGGTCACATTCTCTTTGAAGAATTGCCACCCAAAATGGAAGGCAAAAGAGGCTCTGTATTGATTTAGAAGCACTTGTTTCCTCCTCTAGACAAAACCAGTCATACATTTCGTCAGAAAAGCCAAACTTAAAAAAAGGTACACCCAAGCAGCGCATATAATCTCACAACAAATCCTGCGAAACCACCTCAGCATGCATACCATCTCTTTATCCATCTTGTGCACTCTTGTATGTGTATATAGAATCAGTTTCTGATAAATTATTTTATATGAGATTTAAGATATTTAAGAATAAAACAAGTCTATATGTAAAGAAAGTTGTATGGAAAAAAACTGACCTCTCAATGTTAATACTCAGTATCTGAGTTTAGAAATTTCATTTTTGTTTTCAAATGCCTTTTTCTGTTGCAACTTTAGTTGACTTCATAAAGTATGCAGACTCGCCATGTGTTGTGAGACTTATCCTGTCATATCAAAAATAGAAATGCACTACCCATAGTAACATTTGGCCTGCCAGAATACAATGTGTCACTTACAGTGTGTTTATTATAGAAATGTTTGTTCAGACAGAAAAATTTGAATTAAAAAGTGACATCTGCAGAAAATAAAAGAGAAATATTAATGTGATACTCCCTTTATTTGGGAAGGCCCTGGTAGACATCCATGATCATGCATGATCCTGATAGCTTTGCACAGGCCCACTGGATTTACTCACAGGGCCTGGGACAAAATGGCATATAATGGGCCCACTTTATGAGTTATAATACAGTGGCCTACAACTGATCACATAATACAGGCTCCTTTGAGCCATCTAAGATGCTGGCAGTCAGTGGCCCTGGCTTTACAGTTATTGGAAAGGGATTTGTAACAGTATCACAACAAAACATTTGAAATCAGCCTCTCCTGCTAAACCCACCTTAAACTGAGATAACATTGATCTAGGTTAATTGCTGTACAACATGTGTATTTGCTGGTGGTGTGTCTTAGGAGCAGCCTGAGCTTTTCAGTGTCTGTGAGACGATGTGTTTGGTATGACAGGCCACCGTAGGCCAACTTCTCTGTTGTCATCAGTAGCAGATGTACTGCCTTCAACGAGCTTGCTGACTTAGTTTTGGCTCACCAGACGGCTGCTGGAATATTCACCTGTGGTACTGTGACAAAACCTAAAGCCAGTTTTCACTTTTTTCTACATTGACACAGATTCCAATAAATGTATTTTTTCACCATGCAATGGATGAGAGCATCTTTGGCTTGTGTTTGTGTGTCCGCCACGTGTGTGCATGAGCAGAGAGTGCATTTAACTCATATGACGATGAATGCAAGTGAAAGAAAAAGCCTGTTTTTTTTCTTCTGAGTTCTCGCCATAATGTGTTTATTTCTTCTGACAGCGTGATGGCGATTGAGATGCCTTACGGAGGCACCACAGGGGAGGAATTGAAATGATAGCGGGCTTGACTGCAGCTGTGTGTGTGTGTGTGTGTGTGTGCGGGCGCGCGCACGTGCGTGCGTGCATGTGTGTGTGTGTGCATGTGAGAGTGCGTGTGCGTGTGCGTGTGCCCAGACCTTGTACACATACATGCACAGGCGTCCACATGTGCACACATCACCCAAGAAATGAGACAGTGTGTCTTCTGTGCATCACAAATCACACACAGGTTTGACAGGCCATGAAACGCCTGAGCACATTTAATATGCAGCCGGAGTCTTTTTTCTTTTCCAAGGACACATGCCACCCACCCCCCAACCCCACTCCGACCATCAGATTATTCGTCTGACTGAAAGCCATGTGAAATGTCAGACCCCATCTCTCCTCTGTCTGCTATGAAGACCCAGACTGAATGTGAGTACTGTAGGGTGTCCATGAAAGATGAGTCATGGATGTCTGAAGCCAGTATCTTAAAAAAAAAAAAAAAATATATATATATATATATATATATATATATATATATATATATATACCATATTGTGTGCTGCACTGCCAAATGAGCTGTAGTTGTGATTATATAGATAATTAGTATAAGGCTATGATGGCTTTAATTACTGTGGGAGGGTGTCTTTTAACCAATAATTGTGTTCTAGAAAGTGTTGTCAAATTCAGCTTACCACACAGTGTCAGTAAAACAAAAGGATGCTTCACCATGTGGTTTCAAGACTGCAGGCCACTGTAGGTTGGACCGCGGTGGTTGGCGAAGGGAGAAATTGGCCCAGGACGACATCTGTTTCATTAAAAATTAATCTGGTTTTAGTAACACAGATGCGTGTTTATGATACAATTAACTGTGTTTTAATTTCCTGTTGTAATAAATAGGTTTGTAAATAGAGAGTATGGGCAAAGAGAGGGGGAGATGAAGTGAGAGTGTGCCTGTTAAAGTGCATGTGTGCTCCTGAGACAATATAACAAGATGATGTGTAGGTGTTTTTTCTTTTCTTGTGGGAACCTGTGAATAATCAGAGCTAGAACAACACGCAGGGATTCATACATACAGTCTGGTCTAACTTCACTGAGGGTTTCATATGCTGATAAAGGAGCTGTACATGTGGTCGGGGGTGTGATTTTTGAGTCACTTTGTAAGTCTCTTTACACTTGAAGTAAATGCTTTTGTCTTTCATTGACAGAGAGGAAAGGGGTTTATTCAAGTGTGTAGATCAATCCATACCGTATGGCATGCAAATGGATTAGACACATGAATGCTTTGTCTTATGTAATCACAAATCATTTTCATTGGCAATTTCTTACAGGCTGTGGTAACCTGTCTTTACATGCCCCTCTCTCTCTCTCTCTTTTTACTCCTTGCATGTTTGGTAGTACTCTCTCCACCCTTATAACAAAGCCTGCTCCTCCAGCTCCAGCCTTGGCGGACAAGACTTGTGATAGAAGGCTGTGATCGTCATGCTAATGCCGTCCTTGACTTAAATAACATGCTCCAAGCTCGCAGGGCGGGAGAGTGAGGCAGAGTTGCAGAGTGAATGGAGAGAGACAGAGAGGGGGGATTTGGGTGGATAGTTCGAGGATTACAGGAAGAAAGAAACAGAAGGAGTGAGGTGGAGAGATCAAAGAGGAAGAGAAGACAGAAAGAGGTGGGCAAAACTTATTAGATATCACCACTTGGTTTCTTGGAAGATGCATTTCTATTGAGGGGTGTGTGTGTGTCCATGAGTGTGTTGTGATGTGTATGACTGAATGCGAATCTAAGGCCGCTGCAATGGTAACTAAGTAACTAAGTACATGCTCAAGTACTGCACATAAGGCATTGATTTACGCTGAATATCTGCTCATACTTAGCCTGTGAAAACTGTTGTGCAATGTCTTCCGTGGCTCTGGAGGATCTTTGATAAGCTGAGAAAACAACCCTGATGATGTCATAATGATGTCATTAGGGTAATCTCAGCATGGACTTGGAGGCTTAAAAGTTTTGACATAAAGCCTGTGTTCCACAGGGGCATGGAGTTTAAAAGATATGGGCATTTACGAGGTAGGCAGGGTCTAATGGAAAATGCAACTGAATTGCATTATGGGAAACAAGGTCCAGCTTTTTTTAAGCTTGACCCATGCTAGGGACCTAAAGTCAGGATAGCTCAGCTCGTCTGCACTGTGTCTGACCATTTTGTAAGTCCGTAAACTTTGCAGAATATGTGAATATGTCTAATGTCCAGCTTAAAACTAACTAAGTATCTGTGTGTCAGACACTTAAAGGGAGGAGTTATAAAGTTTGATGGCCACAGGCAGGAATGACTTCCTGTGGTGCTCTGTGGTGCATTTTGGGGGAATGAGTCTTGCGCTGAAAGTGCTCCTGTGTTTGAGCAGCACGTCATGGAGTGGGTGGGAGACATCGTCCAAGATGACATGTAGTTTGGACAGCATCCTCCTCTCTGACACCACCGACAGAGAGTCCAGCTCCACCCCCACAACGTCACTGGCCTTGCGGATCAGTTTGTTGAGTCTGTTAGGGTCCCCTAACCTCAGCCTGCTGCCCCAGCATGCAACAGCAAACAAGATAGCACTGGCCACCACAGACTCTAAAACATCCTCAGCATCGTCCTGCAGATGTTGAAGGACCTCAGCCTCCTCAGAAAATAGAGACGGCTTTGGCCCTTCCTGTAGAGGGCTTGAGTGTTCTTGGCCCAGTGCACTCACAGGTATTTGTAATCCTCCACAATGTCCACACTGACCCCCTGGATGGAAACAGGGGTCACTGGAGCTTTGGCTCTCCTTAGATCCACAACCAGCTCCTTAGTCACGTTGAGCTGTTGGTTCTGCTCGCACCATGTGACAAAGTCCCCCACCACAGCTCTGTACTCAGCCTCGTCACCCTGCTGATACATCCAACCACAGCAGAGTCATCAGAAAACTTCTGAAGGTGACAGGAATCTGTGTGGTAGTTGAAGTCTGTGGTGTAGATGGTGAAGAGGAAGGGAGAGAGGACCGTCCCCTGCGGGGCCCCGGTGTTGCTGACCACGCTGTCTGACACACAGTGTTGCAGGCGCACATACTGTGGTCTGCCAGTCAGGTAGTCAACAATCCAGGACACGAGGGGGGCATCCACCTGCATCTCTGTCAGCTTCTCACCCAGCAGGGCCGGCAGGATGGTGTTGAAAGCACTGGAGAAGTCAAGAAAACAAGACCCTCACAGTGCTCACCGGCTTGTCCAGGTGGGCGTAGATGCGGTGGAGCAGGAAGATGATGGCGTCCTCAACTCCCAGTCGGGGCTGGTAGGCGAACTGGAGTGGGTCCAGGAAAGGTCTGACCATGGGCCACAGCTGATCCAGAACCAGTCTCTCCAGGGTCTTCATGATGTGGGAGGTCAGTGCCACAGTTCTGTAGTCCTTGCAGCCACTGGGACTTGGCGTCTTTGGTACAGGACGAGGCAAGATGTCTTTCACAGCACCGGGACCCTTTGGAGACTCAGGCTCAGGCGGAAGACATGGTGAAGGACTCCACATAGCTGGGGGGCACAAGCTTTGAGCAACCTGGGGCAGACACTTTCAGGGCCTGCAGCCTTGTTGGAGTGGAGTCTCCTCATCTGTCTTCTCACCTGGTCAGCAGTGAGGCACACAGAGGTTACAGAGGGAGAGAGGAGTCCTCAGACTGGAGAGAGCTGTTAACCTGGGTGCCAGAGGTGGTGGGAGAAGGGGTCTCCCAAGAGGAGGGTGGGGACAGTGAGGAGAAAAGTTAGGCAAGGATTGTACTTTCCGTGTCCGTGAGTACGTGAAGGTCCGCTAGAGTCCGCGTGACGAAAAAATCATCATCAGAGGAGGTACGCGTTGCGACTAGCGCTACCAGGGCAAGAACATATCTACTGCGCATGTGTGGAACATGTATGCCAAGCTGACTTCTGAAGGTATTATAAACAGAAGTAGTCCGCGGGGTCCGCAGCTGTCCGTGTCCACGCCTGCTCCTGAGTATATTCGAGGCTTTAGAGGGTAGACAGCAGCTGAGTTAGTGGGAGGATGGGCAGGAGCCATAGTATCAAATCTGATAAAGAACAAATTAAGTCTGTTGGCCCTGTCCAAGCTACACCTATGAAGCATCTTGCTCTGTCATCCTGCGTTATTTACTTGGAAGAAACAGCCTGCTTTTCCTTACACAGACTTGTACTGTAGTTGTTTGCCTGGCGGGCAAAGTATAGGATATATGCTAATGCAGTGCACCAGACATGGGAAAACAAAAACAGCTCTATTGGTTTATGTGGTTGTCGTAGCTGTGTTTTGCCCCAGTATATGTCTCCCACTGCAGAGGTTGCCTTCCAGCCAATCGCTGTCTCTCAGTTTCCCCCAAGAAGACCTCTGAAGACTTACATCACTTGTCAAAGCACATGAAAGTAATGAACAAAAACCCCAACCTATTTTACCAAGCTCAACCCCATTCTGCTATTTCACAGTGGCTTACTGTCAACACAGCTGCACCTGATTTTCAGTCTATGATGTGACAATCCGAGGTAGCGTCTTATTCTGAAGAGTGAGTGACATGTCTGAGTGTTCCCTCTAACTTGTTTTCTCGTCACAGCCATTGGCCCCTGCTGCGCTGCTGAATTTCTTTATGCATCAAATCCTTTGTGAGTATTGTGATGCATGCCAAAGACTAAGTCAGGTAAGTGTGAAAATTTCTCACTCTTTAACTCAAAGCCATGTGTTGGGTTTGCAGGGAGCCAGTTACAAAAATCTGCCAATCTGTGTTGTCCTATGTGTTTGATAGTCCTTTATCTCCCCTCCCTCCCCCGCAGCCCCCTCCGTTATTTATAGCTTCC